GGGGAAGCTGGGGGCAGAGCAGCTCCAATGGTCCGGCTGCCCGGAGCACTTCCGGGTTCCTGATGGTGCCGGACCATCAGGAGTGCCGGACCATCAGATGCCGGACCATCGGAGTTTTACTGTACTAGGTTTCTTACCATGTCCCATCTTCTGGGTTTGTCTTTTGGACTGTAAATTCTGTGAGGGCAGTGAGAGTTTTGCACAACAACAGGCATACTTTTGTCACTTACACAACAGCATTTATAGATAAGTTATTTCCCTCACAAATAGGAGTCAAATTTGCAAATCAGTAACTACACCACTGTTTGACAGTTGGGTGAGATCCATTATGTCTGAGTCACATAATTACTTTATAGTAATTATGGCAACCTGGAGTTAGAAAGGCCAGGTCCAAAAAGAGTAATAAGCTAAAAACAAAAAAACAAACAAATTTATTTTTCAAAATACAAGGAGGAAGTTCCGATCACCCACAAGCATGCTGCTAATGAGGCACACCTAGTCACATCATATTAAGCAGAGATTAGGAAAAGGCCTGTTCAGCAGCAGAGGACGAGTACTGCCACTAGTCCTAAAGTTTCACAAAAGTTTTTAAATATCCATCGTGCATTTCATGCTCCACTTTCCACAGGACAGGACAAGAAAATGGCCTGCAAAAAGCTTACAGCTATTTGAGCATAAATGATCTATATCATGTGACCTATTACTCAAAAATTCAGGGCAGCAGTGTTGTTTTGGTACTAGTGTCACTGGACAAAGTTTGAAAACAATGGTTGTTTTTTTGTGGGGGTTTTTAAGCATGGTTTGTTTTCCCAACAACAGAGGCTAAACTTTCAGAACATTTGTTATCTTGAAGCTTATGGGACTTCCTATGTCCATTTATTTTGTAGCAGTCACATGTCCATTTCTTTGAATTATCCAGACTCTGAAGTACGATTTTGTCTTAATTCATGATCTAACTATTCCACTCATTGCAATTCAAAGTCAGTTACATTTTAAGTAAGTACTCAGACACTACAGGCAGTCCCCGGGTTACATGGATCCGACTTACATCGGATCCCTACTTACAAACGGGGTGAGGCAACCCCTCACTAGCTGCTTCCCCCCAGCAGACCAGGGAGACGCGAAGCTAGCGCCCCCGCAAGCAGACCAGGGAGACGCAGAGCGGCTTTTCTCAGCAGACACCTCAGCTTGAGAATAAAGGACTGAGTGAAGTGAGGTGTGGGAGAATAAAACTGAGCTCTGGAGAAATGTTTGGCTAGAGTTTCCCCTACAATATGTACCAGTTCCGACTTACATACAAATTCAACTTAAGAACAAACCTACAGTCCCTATCTTGTACATAACCCGGGGACTGCCTGTAATGAATGAAGGTCATTTTATCTAAATATGAGATTCAGATGCGCAAAGATGAAAGGATAATATTTTTTAAGTGAAACTTTTAAACAAAACAAATTCAGTTCCAACTACAAACACAGGAAAACTCAACCATTTCAGTTTGGCTGGGAAAAATACAAGGTCAATGAACTTACAAGCTTGTTCTACACAGGCAATATTCCTAGGTCCTTCAGCATTTAGAACTCACCTGTTGATTTGGTTTACTATCCCCTGTCTCTGCAACACATTCGGTCAGCTGCCCATTCCAATATTGCTTTGCACGATGAATGAGCTGGTGTTTTTCAGAAGAAGGTGACATAATGACTCCTTCTGTTGCCAGGTACTTAAAAATTATTTCTCGATAGACTTTTCTTCGTTTCAAGAGTTCTTCTACACTTTGACTGTAAACTAAAATTGCATGAATGGCTTCTGAAAATAAAGAAAGTTAAGTCAGCAACTGCTTCTTTCATTAGAAAACCAATTGTTGATTTGCTGACTAAAGTAAACTTTTTAACGTGAACATTTCTCTCAATGAAGACAAGTATCAAATTTACGTAAATAAAATTCAAATGTATTCTGCGAACCATATGCAAAAGTCTGAACGTTATCTGTTGTCTCAAAGGTCTAACAGAGACTGATACTTGAATCAGGCCTAATCAGCTGAAACTACAGCATAACAGGTTGCAGGGCTCAACTGAAGACCCCCAAAAAGCAGCTGAGTTCAAACCAAAACTGATTAAACACAAAAACAAACATAAAAACAACTTGCCTCTCCATAAAGAAAACTTCTTGAGTTTTTTTAAATTTTGATTAAAACAAAATATTTGTCAACTCTAAAGGATTTCCTCTCCTGCCCCATTTTTTGGGTAAAGCTCAATTCCTATATATATTTCTAAAAAAATCAAAAAATTGTTTCAAATAGTCACTAGTTTTGATTTTTTTTCAAGCAATCTCTTTTTTTCCCCCAGACATAATTAATTTGCTAACAGTTTTGGTGCTTAAAATTGTATTTTTTGGCAAAGTGACTATAGTAAACTTCCAATAATCCGGCACCTTTAGGACCCAGGGGGTGCCGGATTATCAAATATGCCAGACTACCAGGAGGTACTATAAACTGGTTATATATATACTGTATACATTATATACTGTATATAAAGTGCTCTTAACCCTTTTTATTGTACATACTGTATACAGTATACTGTAATGTTTTAGGGTTTTTTAGGCCTTTTTTACCCTTTTTGCTTAGTTCAGCTGCTGCCACTGTTACCTTGTGACTCATTTTTTGCCGAAGCTCACTCACTAGGCTCTTGCCATTTTGATGCCGGACTATCAGGAGTGCCGGACTATTGGACCCCCCCCCCCCCTTCCAATAGTCCAGCTCTGCCCCAGGCGTCCCTGATTATTCAGCTGCTGGTCAGTTTCAGCAGCGGCTAAATCAGGGAAGCCAGGCACAGAACAGCTCCAATTGTCTGGCAGCCGGAGCACTTCCGGGTTCCTGATGGTGCTGGACCATCAGGAGTGCCGGAGCATTGGATGCCGAACCAATGGAGTCTTACTGTATTTGTTGGAAAAAAATTCACTAAGTTCTAGATGAAACACAAACAACACAAAAAAGACAAATGAGTACAAGTAGGATCCTACCAAATTCATAGTCTTGTTTTGGTCAATTTCACAATCATAAGATTTTTAAAGTAGGAAATTTCATGATTTCAACTATTTAAATCTGAAAATTCACAATGTTTTAACTGTCAGACGGTCAAAAGGTTTTTGTAGGAAGGTTGCAGAATTACTACCCTTACTAATGTGCTGCTGTTGATGGCAGCACTGCCTTCAGAACTTGGCATCTGCTGGGGCCAAGGGTCCAGTTCTGAAAGCAACACTGCTTCCATGAAGAAGTAAGGATGGCATGGTATTGCATGGTAATGCCATCTGCACTGATGTCTTCAGAGCTGGGATCTCACCCAGCAACTGTCATTTTAGCCAAGCAGCTCTGACTGCAGTAGGGTTGTCAGATGGTTTAACAAAAAAATACTGAACACACCTCGCCCCCGAACAAAAAATACTGGGAAAAAATTCTCTCAAGGAAAAAAAGGAGGAGACCAAAGTTGTTAAGCAAAACAGAAAAAGGAGGCTGTCCCTTTAAGATGACCAACATCTTGGGCATCATTTTTAAAAACCTGCAGCTCCACCTGGTAAGCACAGGGAAGCCTGGGGAAGGGGGGGAGCGAAGGGAGGGGGGAGCCAGCAGGGGGTGGGGCACAGGAGCGGCTTCATGAGCCACACTTTTGGGAGGCAAGAGCTGCATGCAGCTTGCGAGCTGCAGGTTGGCCATGACTGGCATTGAGGGAGGCATCACGTGGCCAGCTCCCTGGTATCTGCTGGTCACATGGGCCAGAACAGCGTGTGCTCCGCTCCCATCCCTCCACTAGCGTGGTGCCCAGCAAGCGCCCCCTTATGCCCCCTGTGACAAGGCGTTTGCTCTGCACTGGCCCTTTAAGGGCAAACCCCAGCCCAGAGCAGAGCCTGGGAGTTTAGCCCCAGCTGAGGCTGCATTAGTTGATTAGGGCCCAGCTGGGAGCTATATAAGAGGATGGGCTGCTACTCCCCAGGAGGGTAGTGAGTGCCTGGCTGCTGGAGGAGTAGGATGCTCCCTGGAGCTAGGGCAGGGCTCAGGGAGGCAAGGCAGGGCTAGGGGAGCTCTGGCCAAGCAAACCCCCAGACTGCAGGGCCTGAAGCACAGCCTGCAGAAGAAACAACAACCCCCAGAAGGGGGGCTCAGAGACTGATGTGGGCACTGCCGGAGGGCAGTGTCCTGAAGTGAATGCCGTGGCCTGGAAGAAAGAGGTGCGACACCACCCAAGGGAAGGCACCCAGCCAGCAGAAGGAGCTAATTCCTAGGACAGATGGCAGGGGGTGCTGTGGTGGTGAGTCAACCTCCTCACACCCTCCTTCATGATGATTCAGCCATGCTCCTCGCTCTACCGCCCCTGCCAGATGTGACAGGAGAAAATTGTCCCCACCGGGCTTCCATCCATTTCAGATGTTTGGTATTTCATGTTTGGGAGGGGGTGTTGTGTGGGTGTTTTTTTTTTTTTAAACCAGATGGAGCCCACAAATACCAGACTGTCTGGGTGAATACTGGCAACCCTAGACTGCAGCAGCTCCAAAGTAAGGATAGCAATACCAAACCATCCATGTTTCATCTAATTGTGAAAGTGACTTTAGACTTACTTCAAGTCATCAACTGCTGTAGTATCTTATGGATGTGGGAGAAGGAAGTTTGGGGTATTGAGCTCAAGTTAACATCAAAGCCTACTTAAACATTAACCCAAATTAAGTTTAGTTAATGCATATCAGGGAATATATGCAGGGTGTAGCCAACATGTGCAGGCAACATGAAATACATTGCTCGCTACTTCCTGCTGTAGCTAGACTTTCCAGATGGCTTGAAAGTGTAGCCCCACTTAGAGTACAGTCTAAGCATGGCAAGATAAATATCCTAAAAGCGTTATTCTTTTTGGCAAGCTCAAATAAAGCCCCTTTGGCAGTCACTGGACATCAGAAGAAATAGAAGGCTCTAGCTAGATGCTCTGCTTGCAAATAACATGAATATTGTATGCAAGCACAGTTTGAGCCAATAGCGCTGTTACAGCTGGGTTGCTTTTGCAACTTCTAATAATAGGGACGTACCAAATTCTCAGCTGTGAAAAACATGTCACAGATGGTGAGATCTGGTCCTTTGTGTAATTTTACCATAAATTATAAAGATTTCACAATGGGCAGGTGAGGGGGAGCCCACCATTGCATAAAATGGGGGGGGGTCTTAACCTAAAGAAAAGAAATATCAAATATGGCATTTTTCTACATCACTCAATGTATCCCTCTAAATATTTAATATTTGGTTATTGTCTATCCCACTGAACTGCGTTCTGTTACTTGCTGGCAGAATCACCATCTAAATCTGATTCTAGAAACCTGCATTGTTGACACACAAGGCAGAACGTTTTCTTTTTTAATCCCAATTTGAGTTCACCAGAACTAGTAGTTAACCAAAAGTTATCTTTTGTAAATTCATACGATTTAAATATGGAAGTCATTGAGGCCAAGCAGATATTAGAACATTGGGATTTCCTTCTTAGATATTATTTTCCTTTAAGGTTACTGTAAAAAATTAAATTTATGTAGGCAAGTAAAATAATTATACTTTGTTTAGAAACTCAGCTGTTCAGAAAGATCATAAAAGGCCATTTTATGTTAAATGTTTCTCTTTCAACCTTGTAGTTATACTAGGGATGTTAAATATCAGTTAATTGAATAGCCGAGTAATCTCATGAATATCTGTCAACTATTCTATATTTTCCAGAGGCCGAGCCAACAACCAGTGTGCTCCAGCCCCACTCCCAATGAGCCCTACCCCTTGCTACTCTGCCCTACTGCCTCTGTATCAGAGATAGCAGTGTGGGGTCGTAGGTGGGAGCAGTTTAAAAACCAGCTCCCCTCGCAAACCAGCTGCCTGTCACCCCATGCTGCTGTCTCTGGTACAGAGACAGCAGCACAGGGTGGAAGCAGCCCCTGTTGAGGGAAGAAGGGGCCTGAACTCCTGGACTCCGTGAGCCAGAACTGAGCTGTCCTGCTTGGTCAACTCCTAATACACTTGAAATGCAGAGCCACAGCAGAGGTAGGTCCCAGACCCATCACAAGCCAGGACTGGCCTGCTAAAAAAGTTTACTGTTAGGGAGAGGGAAATGCATGTAGTCTATAGCATTGACCTCTAAACTTTTGCTTATGAGCTAATTGACTACACTATTACATCCCTAACTTATACTGTTGATTGCTGGAAACTTGAAGTAGCCAATGTTAATTCTAGCTAATGTTTCACATCAAGCACTTTAGTGTTGAACTCAGAACACCTTATATTTAGAAAAAGACTTTTACTAATCCTTACTATATTGGACAAATTCAAAGCAACAGTCATAAATGAAAATGCGTCCACAGAAGGGGTGGAAGATGCACAAAGCGACTTTGCCCTATGAACTAGTAACTTATTTACCACCTGACTCTGCATGTCTCTTTCAACAACTGAGAGCAGTAGTTACTCTTGCCAGCAGCAGCATTAACTGGTGTTTCAGTTAGCTGCAACCCCTGTATGCCTTGCCCACACCTCCAACTTTTAAATAACTTGGGCTCACATGAGACACACTACTTACACATGAGGGCTGTGTCTAGACTGGCCAGTTTTTCTGGAAAATCAGCCACTTTTCCGGAAAAACTTGCCAGCCGTCTACACTGGCTGCTTGAATTTCGGCAAAAGCACTGACTTCCTACTGTAAGAAATCAGTGCTTCTTGCGGAAATACTATGCTGCTCCCGTTTGGGCAAAAGTCCCTTTTGCGCAAAGCTTTTGTGCAAGAGGACCAGTGGAGACCGCTCTGATTTGTTTTCCGCAAAAAAGCCCTGATCCCGAAAATGGCGATGGGACTTTTTTGCGGAAAAGTGCGTCTAGATTGGCACAGATGCTTTTCAACAAAAAGTGCTTTTGCAGAAAAGCGTCCATGCCAATCTAAACGCTCTGTTCTGAAAATGCTTTAATGGAAAACTTTTCCGTTAAAAGTATTTCTGGAAAATCATGCCAGTCTACATGTAGCCCCTGTGATTATCTTGGTAACTGATTCAAAAGTCTGAATGCTCCCC